TGGCCCTGGGACTCTGAGAGGAGGGTGCCCACCAATGTAAGGTGACAAGAGCCATCACAGACTGTGTCCTGACACTGGCATGTGCCCATATTCTTGCAGGGGATGCACAGAAGCAGGCATCATAGCCTTGCCCTCAACAACAGCGGCTGTGTAGTTTATGTGCTGTGTTTGAATCAGCCACTTACTGGCTGCGGGCCCTGAGGCCTATGGGCGCTCAGGTCTTGTGACTATCTGTGCGCAACAGTTTTCCCAGGAAAAGAGGCTGATAACAGCATTTACCTGGGGGGTGTGTGTGTGTGTGCAGAGTACATGAGATGATGCTGATACAGGGCTAACACAGGGGCTGCTTCAGTAAATAAAGACAGTGCAAGAGATTAGATCTGCTTGAGGAAAAGATAAAAATAAAAGCCTGTGAAAAAATGGACCGGGATGAAGTGGTGTGGCAGCCTAGAGGGTGCTCCTCATACTCTGATGTAAGCAGGCATCCACCACCAGGGGTCTTATTGAAATGGAAGTTCTGATTCGGCAGGTCTCGGGGGGCCTGAGATGCCGCCTCTGTTACGAATGCCTCTCAAATAGCAAAGGGGAACGAAACCAACTAGGTAGAATGCAAACCACAAGTCACAGTTCTATTTTGTTAAAAAAAAAAAACACCCAAAACTCTAATTTCTCAAGATAAGAAGTAAAAACAAGGAAAAGCCAGGAGGGTCAACTTGTGGAGAAACCTGTCACCAGTGCTGGGGGGCCCTCAACTCCTCTTGACCTGGAGAAAGATCACTGCCACATCCAAGCAGGGTTCTTCAGGCTGGACCACTCACAGACCCTACCTTCACCCATGGGTTTTACAGGTGAAGAGGAAGAGGAGCAGGATTTTAGGGCCACGGTTTGCGGCCTATAGTTTCCCTCCTTGTTGCCAGACTGTTTTTCAGAAAGGCTGCCCCAGGCTACTCGCACCAGCAATGACTTGGCTGCCACAGCTCCTCATTCCCCACAAGCATTTGGCATTATTCAGCTTTCTAATTTCTGCCAGTCTAACTGGTGCAAGTGCTCTCTTATCATTTTCACTTGTATTTTTCTCATCCTGAATAAACCTGACCATCTTTTCATACCTTTGCAGGCTTCCTGGGGTTTCTCTTCTTTAAGAGCCTGCCCAAGCCCTGGAGGATCGGGCCTGTTGGAGGCCTTGCCCACTCCTCTGGGCTGAGAGGCTGGGGCAGCCCCCCGGGCAGGGGATGGGGTGTAGGGTGGCGGGAGACACACCGAGGGGAACCTGCGGAGCTCAGAGTGGCGCCCACCCTCCAGCCTCGGGTGTGAAAGACGCTGAGCGGTGGGCAGGTCCATGGAGCCCGAGGGCCCCGCAGCCTGGTCTGGGATGGGGGTGGGGAGCTGGGAGAGGCCGCAGGGCTGCGCCCCCGTT